ATTTTTAACATATGAAACGGCATTGAAATTGCATTTTTGAGACATCAATGAAATCTCAGTCAATAGTAGTTCACTGGCCTTCAGATGCTATTATTATTTAAAAACATTGTTTTACAACCAATTAATTAATAATTAATAATTTTCTAATTACTGCAGTTATTATGTGGGTAATATAATGCTCATTAATTAAAAATATGAATTTTAAATGCTATTTTGTTAATAAAATCTTTTACACAAATATGTAAAATTGTTATTTAAATTTATTAAAATTCTAAGCAATTCTTAAAATTTTTAATGATTTATGAGACAAGTTTGATAAAAAATAATATTTTATTTTATTTAAATTAAGTTATTAAATAGAAGTATTACATTATTTCTTTATAAATGATTATTATTTTAACAGGAGTGTTATCAATGATAATGATAATAAAGAAATAAAATGTGAAAAATAATTATTTGTCAATGGATTTGATTGATTTGTCTGTATATGAGGCGTCCTTTCAGAAGATGATAAAAATGAAAGATCTGTTTGTTTTGGATATTCTTCTAAAATGTTATGTTTTGTTTCGTCACTGAATATATGAATAAAAATTATAATCAATTAAAATAATCAATTTATAGACAATTTTAAAGTTTAAAAATTTTTATATTAATAAACTTAAAATAGATGCCAATCAGGGTATCGAACCCAGAGTTTTATTTAGTCATAAATTGCATCTAATTTTGCAACTTAAGTAAGGTTTGGTTAGTCTTAAGATGATAGTTTTTAAATGTCTAAAAACAAAACAATATTAAATATTTTCAATGTGAATATTTAATAAAATTTATGAGTATTATAACAACATTAAATAAGTAATTAGTGTTAATTAAGAATTATTCCAGTTTGAGTGGGAATTATTCTTATTATCAGATAAAAAATAATTTATAAATTTTAAAAGCATTTGAAATGAAATTATTGCGAAATTGTTTTAATTATATACAATAAAAAAGATTAAGTAAGTTGTGAACTACTAATACTAATTAAAAATTCTGAATTAATTCTAAAATATGAAAAATTGTTTTAAACTGCAAATGACTTGAAATAAAGTTTCAAATTAAATAAAGTAAAACATAAATAGATTAAGTAAGTTGTGAACTACTAATACTAATTAAAAATTCTGAATTAATTCTAAAATATGAAAAATTGTTTTAAACTGCAAATGACTTGAAATAAAGTTTCAAATTAAATAAAGTAAAACATAAAACCAATTAGTAATATCATACGATGCAATCATTAATAAATGAAAGTTTCATTTAATATATTACCTGTTAATATGTCTGCACTCGCATTGGGTGTGATTATTAAAATTGATGGCATCGACACTCTTTTTGTTTCCCTCGACGGTTACCTCGAGTACCAGAAAATGTAGGACCACTTTCTCAATACTCTTGGCCACACATCTCTGGGTCTCATCACTACAACAGCCCGACGTTGAGTCGCAAATGTTTAAAACGGTGGCAAAGGGTACGTATTTTTTATTATATGTCGAAAATAGTTTTGATAGATATATGACACGAGGCACGGGTTGTGAACATTTCGCTGTTTTCAATATGCGGGCGAAGTGTTCAGCGGCTAATTGACTGTCATTTGTATTATTCTCGTCGCAAACAAACATTTTCATTAGCAGTACAAACATTAGCAAACTTTTTAGCATATTTTCTTCAATTTACGTCAAATTCTCTTTAATTCTTGTTTTAAGAGTAAGTGTCGACAGAAATGAAAAGCTATGATAAAAATGGGCACAAGATTTGAGATGTGGTTTCTAATGATAACCAAACTCAAGGACAGACAAGAATCACATTTTTCATCGCAAAACTTATTAATTATTTTGAGTTCAGATCTTTGAGCAAGGAATCAATTCTTGGAAAGCCTTACGACNATTTGAGATGTGGTTTCTAATGATAACCAAACTCAAGGACAGACAAGAATCACATTTTTCATCGCAAAACTTATTAATTATTTTGAGTTCAGATCTTTGAGCAAGGAATCAATTCTTGGAAAGCCTTACGACCAGTCATTGCCTCTCAGATAGCATAGAAAAATCAAGTTTTTATTAATCAAAGTCTCAAACATTTCATTTCGCAAACGAATGTCTCGTTTTTCATAGAAATCTCATTTTTGATTTACTTCATTGTAATTCGTAATTAAAAAGTTATAAAACTTTTATTTGAAACAAATTTATCCTTTATTTTTGGTCATAAATTATTCGCCAATTAAAAACAATTTATACTTGAAGTTGGATTTATTTTATTATTGAATTCATAATTAGATAAATTTATTATTAAATTATTTAATAATTAAAATTTATTAAGAATTTTTATATTAATGTATGAAAAAGGCTTTTGTAATAGAGATATGTTTTGAGGTATTGATTGAATCGTATATTTAATATATTTAATATACTATATTACTATCCCAAGGTTTTGAAATTTTATTTCACTTTAAGTCTATATACAGTAAATATTTCTTATTATAATCTGAAATATAAAAACACAATTTATCATTTAAGTTTTGATTACCGTTAAATCAAACTTCAATTTTTTAGAAGTTTTCAAGAATTGATTAATAATTATCATTTGATATTAAATATGTTTTTAGGATTTTTATATCCATTAAATATTTAAGTCTGTGTTAACCAATCATTATGTAACTCAGATATCAATTAACTTCAATTACGATTTCAAAAGATGTCATGTTATTAGTAAACAAATAATATTATACAAGAGATTTTTATTGATAAATTTGCTTTACATTTGTATTAAAATTCCCAACAAATTGCTTTTTAATAAACTATTTCTTTAGTAATTTCCAGAATTTTTAGATTAAAGTTATCCAAAATATTTTTTGTTAAATCAAGTTTAAATGTCACATTACTGTATACAGTATAATTAATTCATGTTTGATTTTAATTATATTTTTAATGAATGTTTTATGATTTTTATCAGCATTTTATATTATGTATGATTCCATAAATAGATTTATTTATAGTCAATAGTATTAATAGCTTATGATTTGAGAATTAAAATGTTTTTTCCAAAATATCTTATTGATCAAATATAATATCAATTGTCAATTAGTTTCACTTACAAAATGAATAAATTATGTTAGAAAATATTTAATCTTTTATTAAAATAAAAATGTGATTTAAATGTCTAAATATTGTATAATTTAATTATCAGATTTTGGAGTTAATTCAACTTTAAAATTTATAAATTAAATTAAAAATTAAATTCATATGAATTTAAATTATTTTAAAACTTTATTTAACACCAAACAATTTGATCTGATTTTAAAATTTCTAACCTTATACAATATGTTAGTTTTATTAATACAATCAAACTATTTGTTCAAATGATTAAAGCATTTAATAAATTATTTATTTATTAAGCATTTATTGTTTCCTTGAAAACATACACTTCACTGGCATTTATCGTTAAATATTTTCTTATATAACAAATAGTATTGTATCAAAATGTTGGATATATTACATGTAATATAAGATTTATTAATTATATCTGAGAGACAAATAGGAGTGGAGACCAGAGAGGACTTAATGTATTAGTAAGGCCTGGGGCACCCTTTGCATCAATTTTTGTTTCTGACATCCTTAAGCTATAAACTGGGCTATGGCTCATCCCTAACACATATATATAATACTATTTATTTAATATAATACATCATTTAGTGCTATTGTAACAGGCATTTCAATAAATCTTAATAACTATTCATTAAATCAATGCTTTCTTAAAGAAGTGTTTGTATTTATATTTTACAGAACCGTTTAATTAATTAATTAATATCTGTATAATACTTTAAATTAGTTAACAAATTAAGGCATTTATTTAAATATAAAACAAATATTAAACTTTACAGATAGCTTCATAAATTTATTGAATTTACCTAAACTATATGCTTGCCTTCAAACAATTATCTGATTTTAAAGTTTGAATGAAATTTATTTTGTCAGAAATAAGGTTAAGGTTTAGGACCTAAACCTTATGTATCAAAGAATTTGAACTATGCTTTCTCTAAATGTTCAAAAATTGAAATATTCAACACAAAAAACTTTGTTTGTAATTATTATATGATTTATCAAATATTTTTCAGCATATTTCCTATGACTTCCTAGTAATTAGAATATATTTCACTAAATTATTGGTTAATAAACGGATTTCATATACGAATTAATTTCCCGTTTCTCGATATAATTAATGATAAATTAATTAATATTATCTTTTTATTATCTCAAGTAAAACTTAGAAAAAGATTTTAAAAATCACAAATAAATGTATTAATAATATTAATAAATATGAACACAAACATAAATAATAGGATAGCCTTTATATATGATATTCATATATATATGATATATGATATTCAACGCAATGATCTTCAGGAATGATAATAATGGTAGGGCTGGTAGGGAATGGCGGTGTCAACGAGGGGTGTCGTTGTTAATGGGCTGACACTGACATTCGGTGTGGTTCTGGAGAGTGATGTGTTCGACGCCCTTCTTGTGTTTGCCATCGGGTGTCAACTCAATGACCCAAAAGTATAGCTTCACGTCTTCGATGGTTTTGGGAACACATTCCTCGTTCTCCTGATGACAACAGCCCGAGAAATGTCCGCAAAAGTGAAGTCGAGTGCAATGCGGGACGAACTTCTTCTTCGCGCTCAATATGTAGTCACTTATGTGTATGACTTTAGGCACCGGTGTCTCACATTTGGCCTCTTTTACCACTCGACTGAAGTGTTGGGACGCCAATAGAGACTCATTGGCCGACATTATACTCGACAATGAATTCGTGATTTGTAGACATATTATGGTTATTATACATATGGATAACATTTCATTTAGCATTATATTATTTGCAGAATATTAACTTTATATCTAAATCCCAATCACTATATTTTAAAAACAAACTATTAATAAACTTTATTTTTTAATAAAGTATTAAATAAAATTTTGTTCAATAATTTTAAATGATTTAAAGCAATGCTATTCAATAATCTCTTGGCTCTCCCCTTAATAAAGTGAAGAGAAATCAATTAATCAAATTTATATCTATTTGTTAATCAATTCTTTGAATCTAAGAATTTCCTTATAATAACCACTGATTGTAGTAAAGACTTAATTTAACTCAATATTTAATAACATACAGACCTTTAAGAAATAAATTGAAATCCAAACAAAATATTCACAATTTATAAGAAGATTTATGATTTCTATATTAAAGTTATGAGAAATACTTTTGAAAAATATAAATATTAAGAAACCTTTGAATATGAAATACACGAAAATATAGGAATGTTTTGTTGCATCACTTAATTCCACCAATTCTTAGGACCACTTAATGGATAGGAAAACTCGTTTGAGTCTAATTCACATTTCATATGATATTCATGACACTTAAAAAAGTCACAAAAATAGTAACACAAAAAACTTTTTTCTCTATACCGAAAAAGCGAGTAAAAATAAGTTTGAGTACTTTTTTAAGATTGGATATAAACTTCACGTGAATTTTAGATTAAGTAAGTTGTGAACTACTAATACTAATTAAAAATTCTGAATTAATTCTAAAATATGAAAAATTGTTTTAAACTGCAAATGACTTGAAATAAAGTTTCAAATTAAATAAAGTAAAACATAAATCAATTAGTAATATCATACGATGCGATCATTAATAAATGAAAGTTTCATTTAATGTATTACCTGTTAATATGTCTGCACTCGCATTGGGTGTGATTATTGAAATTGATGGCATCGACACTCTTTTTGTTTCCCTCGACGGTTACCTCGAGTACTAGAAAATGTAGGACCACTTTCTCAATACTCTTGGCCACACATCTCTGGGTCTCATCACTACAACAGCCCGACGTTGAGTCGCAAACGTTTAAAACGGTGGCAAAGGGTACGTATTTTTTATTATATGTCGAAAATAGTTTTGATAGATATATGACACGAGGCACGGGTTGTGAACATTTGGCTGTTTTCAATATACGGGCGAAGTGTTCAGCGGCTAATTGACTGTCATTTGTATTATTCTCGTCGCAAACAAACATTTTCATTAGCAGTACAAACATTAGCAAACTTTTTAGCATATTTTGTTCAATTTACGTCAAATTCTGGTTTTAAGAGTAAGTGTCGACAGAAATGAAAAGCTATGATAAAAATGGGCACAAGATTTCAGATGTGGTTTCTAATGATAACCAAACTCAAGGACAGACAAGAATCACATTTTTCATCGCAAAACTTATTAATTATTTTGAGTTCAGATCTTTGAGCAAGGAATCAATTCTTGGAAAGCCTTACGAC